ATTCATGTAAAAACATGCTGATTCCCAGACCGTCAGTGGGCCGGATTTAGAAGGCGATTGGGCCAGATCCAGCCCCTGGGCCTTAGTTTGCCTACCCATGATCTATATCTATCTATAATATATCTATAATTATCATCTATCTAGCCTTCTGGGTTGTGTGTGATTTCCACTGGCAAATCAATGCATACAAACAGATTGACTCCCTTTTCTCTTATATTGCCTGGTTCAAATCAGTGTGGCCTAGATTAAATTAGTTGTAAAGACTTGTGATTTCATTGCTTTATTCACTGATAATGAAAATGATGGTCAGTGGTCAGGTTGCAGAAATCTGCCTTAGTGATAATGAAGACATCTCCCAGTTTCTAAAAGTCCAGGCAGAAGGTAGGTGTGTGTGTGTGTGTGTGTGTGTGTGTGTGTGTGTGTGTAAAATGCATATATTCAAAATCTAATGAGTGTTCACTGCAAGGTGAATGCTTTCATTTAAATTAAATATTTTTCACTCAAAGGTATTGCTGCCCCCTCCTGCTCCAGCATCCCCACTGGAAAAATGGCACAAGAGCTAATCCTTGACTTGTGGTATCACTTGCTATGGAAGATAGCAGTCCTTGAGAAAATAACTCATGAACTGAACTTAATTCAAGGTCAGGACAAACTGGAGTAAGTCTATAGGGTTTGGAATTGCTTGTTTATTGACTCAAATCAATAACCTTTTTTTTTTTCAAGAAAGAAAGGAAGAAATCCTTGTCAGATCCAACTAGCAGGGTTGTGCACTGACCACAAAATTTGATTTGCATCCCAATTTGGCAGCTCAGGAAACAGCTCAAGTCCATTTTGTTTCTTCCTCTCTCCCTTATTTTATTCACTATTGAGAAATCAAAAATAAGGCAAAATGGCTATAGAAAATTTAATTTGTAGAGGGCAGCCTCACCTGGTTTCCAATCTCAACTTTACATTAGAGCAAACCAATTAAGACATTCCCTTTAAAAAAAAAGAAGAAGAAGAAGATATACTGAAGTCCTGGCTTTAACTAACAGATACTTTATCTTATAACATCCCAATAAATGACTCACCATCTCTGGATAAATACCTTAAAACTTTGAACTAGTCCGCTGGTCCCTATTTTAAAACATCATTCGCATTCTGGAAAGCCTGAAAGGAAGCTTTGATTATTGCACAGTCCCCTCTCATTCCCATCCTGTTTTTCAACCAAAAAAAATCCAGCCTTACCCTCCTCCCCAAAATACTATTTAGATTACGACTGGAGCATGAAGAAACAACTGGAATAAGCAGACAATATCATTCCTGCATGGAGTCACTATTAACCCCTTCTAAAGATGTTGACAAAGACCTAATCGGTTTTCTTTTATTAGTGACTAGATTAACAATTATAAGGTTCTGGAAATATTTGGAGGTGGCCAGAGTAGAATACTGGTACAATAAAGGTCTGGCTTTTGGTTCCATCTGAAAAGTTAGCCCGAAAGGTGCATTTATATAAAGGTATGACGGAAAGAAAGAGAGAGAAAGAGATAGGTTTTATTCGACATTGTGTGATTTTATTAAATTTATCAGTGAAAGAACTGAGGCTGCAGTAATCCCAGCTAGGTCTGTGGGTATATGGAATTTTTTTTTTTTACAGCAGTAATAGACCTTCCCTGGCCAGAGTGTTTTCAACTGCATTTTCTGAACTCTGTAAAAAAGATGAAGGAGTTTTAGAAGACTTTGAGGTGTATATAAATAGAGAGAGAGAGAAAGGTGGGAGAAGGGGGTTGTGCACCAGATTTGGCCAAGGCCTGAATCCCAAACTGAATCGGGCTGATTCAGGGAATCTGAGCTTCAGTCAAATAGGATTGAAGGCAGCCCTGGATCATCATGAACTACCATCTTGAAGGATGCTAAAAAGGTCAAGGTAAAGGGACCCCTGACCATTAGGTCCAGTCGTGGCCGACTCTGGGGTTGCGACACTCATCTTGCTCTATAGGCCGAGGGAGCCAGCATACAGCTTCCGGGTCATGTGGCCAGCATGACTGAGCAGCTTCTCACGAACCAGAGCAGCACACAGAAATGCCGTTTACCTTCCCGCCGGAGCGGTACCTACTTATCTACTTGCACTTTGACGTGGGCAGGTGCTAGGTGGGCAGGAGCAGGGACCGAGCAACGGGAGCTCACTCCGTCGCGGGGATTCAAACCGCCAACCTGCTGATCGGCAAGTCCTAGGCTCTGTGGTTTAACCCACAGCGCCACCCGTGTTCCATGCAGGATGCTATTCATTCATTAATTCATTCAACCACTCGTCATACCCAGCAAGCTGAAGTAGAGATTTGAACCCTTGTTTCCCAGGTCCTAGTTGTGCCCATGGGGTGAGAATTCTGCTCTGATCCATTCATTGCAGATGCATGTTTTGTTAAATAAACCTGTAATTATTAAAAACAGCAAGTTTGTCGTCCCATGTCTTCATTCCTTGTTGTGGGGCAATACAGAATCTGCATGTGCAAGTGGAATTCGGAGGGACTATGAAAGGAAGAATTCATGAAACTACTAAGTTGACAACATTTAATGAACACCTGGGCATGAGCTGACGAAAGGAAAAGTGACTCGATCTAGTTTGCAGTCTTCAAGCTGGTTATAAATACTGTATGGCAACATTCTTCATTCAAACACGTTGACAGCTGACATTATCCAGCATTCTATTCCCACTTGAGCAAAATCCCCATGGGGCTCTTTAATGATTCAAGATATTTACCACCAAGGTAGGTTGAAATATAATGTAGCATCCAAAAGACAAGGAGATCCAACCGGAAAGTCTGCTAGCCTTGATTCCATGAACACCACTCATGGAATAAGGAAACTTATGCTTCTGAAATTCATAGGAACATAAGAAGAGACTGCTGCATAGGACCAGTGGTTCAGTATCCTGTTCTCATAGTGACCAACTACTGGGGCTGCGTACTAGTATCCCAATTCAAATCAGACTGATTTGTGTCTGAAGCAGCTAGAGATGGCTAGAGTGAATCAGGTTATCCTTAAATTGATTTTGGCTATTAGAGCTGATCTGTAGCTCTCAGAAAGCCAGACGGACCGCCTCCAAACTGTTGTAGTTATTAATTACAACACTATATAAAGGGAACATCAGATGGAGAAGAGGTCTAGAATGATCTCATGACATTCAACACTCTCCAGTCACAGTGCTTGGAGGTGGGGGTGCTGGACTTTGCTTAATGAGAACTGCAGGGTTATTACCCCACCCAACACTCCCCAAGTTAAAAAAATGTTTTGTGGAGCTGAGTAGCATTTGTTCAGCTTGTGCTTGTTTTCTATCCTTTTCCAATCAATCCCATTCCCATTCTCATATTTTAAAATGTTTGCTGTCTGGGTCTTAGTATCACCCCTCCCACATTTTGGTTGTAGTTTTTAGGTAAGGTTTATTTGATCAAATCATCAAATCACAGAATCATAGAATTGTAAAATTTGAAGGGATTCCAAGGGTTATCTACTCCAACCCCTTGCAATGCAGGAATCTCAGCTAAAGCATCCATGACAGATGGACAGCCAGCCTCTGCTTAGAAACCTCCAAGGAAGGAGAGTCCACAATCTCCCAAGGGCCATCATATGCATCTCTTCTCAGTCTCCTTCTTTCCAGGCTAAACATACCCAACTCCTTCAACCATTCCTCATCAGGCTTGGTTTCCAGGCCCTTGATGATCTTGGTCACCCTTCTCTGCACACCTTCCAGCTTGTCAATAGTCTTCTTAAATTGTGGTGCCCAGAGTTGGACACAGTATTCCAGGTGTATTTACACCTGAGTTCAGTTTTCTTGTCTTTATTAATATTTTCTTGTGTGTTTGTGTGTTGTGAGTACGCTGTACACAGTCTAATACAGTGGTGTCGTTGTTGCTGTTACTATTATTATTTCCAATTGCTCTGCATGTACCAGCATGCATGCAATAAGGAGTTGGCTGGTGAAAAAGGAGAAAAATAGCAGAAAGAAGACTACCATTCAGCAAAGATACTTGCCTTCTGGTAAAGGTAAGGTAAAGGTAAAGAACCCTCGGACGGTTAAGTCCAATCAAAGGCGACTATGGGGTTGCAGCGCTCATTTCGCTTTCAGGATGAGGGAGTTGGCGTTTGTCTACAGACAGCTTTCCGGGTCATGTAGCCAAGCATGACTAAACCGCTTCTGGCGCAATGGGGCACCGTGACGGAAACCAGAGTGCACGGAAATGCCGTTTACCTTCCCGCCACAGCGGTACCTATTTATCTACTTGCACTGGTGTGCTTTTTGAACTGCTAGGTAGGCAGGAGCTGGGACAGAGCAACGGGAGACCACTTCGTTGTGGGGATTCGAACCGCCGACCTTCTTTTTTTTAAAAAAAAAAAATAATATTTATTAATTTTCCAACAGTTTAAACACAACAAAACAGAAAGACAAAAATAAATAAATACAGCAATACAATACAATACAAAAACACTACAAAACACTAACACATAAAACTAACAAAACAAGACACAAACCGTTTAAAACACAGAACAATTTCCATATCTTATCTTTCATTCACTTATTTCCACGACCTCCTCACACCTCCCTTTTTGTATTCCACTTCTGTTAATTGTTTCAGCAATTCCTTTCCATCTTCCTCTGTTTTCTATCCTATAATTATCTTAACACATTCTAACCTTATTTTTCCCTTTAATACTCTATTAATCTATTTATACTTAATTCCTTATAGCATTTCTACTAAAGCCATATAACTTCATTCCAACATTTTTCTAACATTCATTATTTTTACAATATTTCTATAAATAGTCTTAAACTTTTTCCAGTCTTCTTCCACCGACTCTTCTCCCTGGTCTCGGATTTCTGCCAGTCATTTCCGCCAATTCCATATAGTCCATCAACTTCATCTGCCATTCTTCCCGGGTGGGTAAATCTTGTGTCTTCCAATACTTCACAGTGAATATTCTTGCTGCTATTGTTGCATACGTAAAGTTCTATCCTTCTTTAACACCAATTGGCCGACCATGCCCAGGAGAAAGGCCTCTGGTTTCTTCAAAAGGGTATATTTAAATACCTTTTTCATTTCGTTATGAATCATCTCCCAAAGTGTCTTGATCCTTGGGCATGTCCACCAAAGGTGAACTCTAATCCTCAAATTCGTCTGTTTTTCTTTAAGTTCAATCATAGCAAGCGTCAACTTATGTTCATCAAATTGCCTCTGTACAGCTGGGGCTCTCTTTCTCTTTCTCTCCAGTTGTGTTACTTTACATTCAGCAGCAACGGCTTTTTCCCTGGCTTCCTCCGCAGTTTGCCGTATCAAAGTAGGTTCCTGTATCAATTTCTGGGTGGTTTCTGTATTGGTATTATTTATACTTTCTATATTTAAGTTAATTTTAGTAATTGGAACATCCACTTTCGCATTTATCACGTCCATTTTCCTGTTAAGCTGATCCAGTGAATCATTTATCTTATATAGTGCAGCCACTAAAGCCTCTTCTGTCGACATTCCTCTTAGTTTTAAATGTACTGGTACAAAGGCAGCAACAGAAGGAGCAGGGGGGCCTGATGATGAACCTCTCCTGGATTGTTGCCAAGTCCTCCCAGACCTTAATGTTTTGTCAGCAGTTGACTGGTATGTTTTTCCTCTTCCATTTACCATAAAGTCCGCAGGCAGATAGGGTCTCAGCCTGCGTATCAGATGGAGCTGGTAAACAGCTGCCCTGGACGCAGATTTGACCTGTGCCTCCATGGACAGCTGTGAGTCCAAAATGACTCCCAGGCTGCGCACCTGGTCCTTCAGGGGCACAGTTACCCCATTCAGGACCAGGGAATCCTCCACACCTGCCCGCCTCCTGTCCCCCAAAAACAGTACTTCTGTCTTGTCAGGATTCAACCTCAATCTGTTAGCTGCCATCCAACCTCCAACCGCCTCCAGGCACTCACACAGGACCTTCACTGCCTTCACTGGTTCTGATTTGAAAGAGAGGTAGAGCTGGGTATCATCTGCATACTGATGAACACCCAGCCCAAATCCCCTGATGATCTCTCCCAGCGGCTTCATGTAGATGTTGAAAAGCATGGGGGAGAGGACAGAACCCTGAGGCACCCCACAAGTGAGGGCCCAGGGGTCTGAACACCCATCCCCACCACCACTTTCTGAACACAAGTGGTTGGTTTCACTCGTCCAAGCAGCCTGTCCACATCCTCGGGGTAACAGATTGGAATTGATCCCACACAACTTGACTAGACAGGACTCTAGCACTCTCCCGCCCCGGCCCTGCTCCCACGGTGGAGTCTACCTCTTCTCGAATCTGAGCGACTTTATCTGCAAAAAAACTTTGCAAAGTCATTGCAGGAGATCATGTGGCCGCTACTGGGCCCTGATGGAGCAGGCGGTTCCGCTAAATTGCGAACCACCTGAAAGAGTCTCCTGCTGCTGTTTTCCGCAGATGCAATAGAGGCGGTGAAGAAAGACTCTTCGCCGTCGCTATCGCCACTTGGTAGGCTCGACATTGAGCTCTAACCCGTGTCCGGTCAGATTCAGAATGGGTTATCCGCCACCGGCGCTCTAGCCGTCTCAACGATTGTTTCATTGCCCTCAGATCCGTGGAAAACCACGGGGCTGTCCGGACTCCATGCAATCGGAGAGGGCGCTTTGGAGCCAAACGGGATGGTCAGGCAGCACGACTGGCATGAGCCGATTGACTACAACACTAAGAGATTCAAGGTCAGTCCCAGAGTCTCACGGTTTTTAACTTGCAGCTGGAAATTCCCTAGCCCAGCTCTTGTAAAGCAACCAGTTTCAAAGGCTTCCACTAGGGGGAAACAGTTTCTATTTGTAATAGTCAATAGTATCCTCTTTTAGACACAATTCAAACAATCCAAAATTAGTTTCAATTTTCAGTTACTTTTACTCCTTTTTAAAGCAGCCGGAGACAGTAGAAACAATGTATTTCTCTTGTTTAGCTAGCTGTCAATGAACGTTCTAAACGCTGTCAATGAACATTCCAAAAGACGTCAGTCCTGCTAGCAGCCCGTTTCCAGGGTCAGAGCGGCGGTATTTTTAGATCTCTTCGCTCTCTCCCACAGGCATACTCAGTCCACAACTTCCCCCTCTCTTTTCCTGCCTCCAAGAGGGGGTTTAATGTTCTTTGCTGATGGAAATTTAGTCTTTTACAAAAGGCTTTCCAGGACTCCAGCTTGCAACTTCATTGCCTCAGTCTATTTACAAAAGGGGAAGGCGGACTTCCTGTTTTGAACCTCCCCGTTACGGTACCAAATTAAACATTTAGAAATCCAATTCTTCCGCTTCAGCTCTACTCACGGGTAATTACTTTAAAATCAAATTGTCCACAGGAAAAGGTCAGCGCTCTCCAGCAACAGCTATGTGGCTTCGCTCCGTGGAAGAAGCAGATGATTCGAAGCACCACGCCGCTCACCCCACGTCGCTCCGGACCCCCAAAACCGGGTTTCCCCGCGAGTAGGGGAGGCGCAAAAGTTGCCCGCCGAATCCCACGCTCACAGGCTTCTCCCACCTGTGATTTTAACGGGTCTCCGCCTTCACCGTGGCGGCCAGACCCAGATTCCCACGGAGCAGATTCCTCCCGATCAGAGGAATTCTGCCATTACCGGAGGCGCCTCCCCGGAAGTCCTGAACCGCCGACCTTCTGATCGGCAAGCCCATGAGGCTCAGTGGCTGGGCTCATGTACACAAAATATGTCAAAAGGGCATATGACCTACACCCTGGGGAGTGATGCCCTTTGACCTACACCCTGGGGAGTGATGAATTTGGGGGCTTAAGTCTAGCAAGAAGGAGAACCCAGCAATGGCTTTACTGGATGGTTTGCAGGACTGCAATGAGATCAATAGGTTAGCAAGATGGTTTTCTTGTGAAGGGAGCAATAACCATTATTAGAAGGAAGGTGGGTTGTGGCTTGCAGGTACTTGAGCTCTGCTTGTTAATTAGGACTTTGAGACTTGAATCCCCCTCCAGAGAGGACCATGATCAGAAATAATCGCCTTCTGCACGCCTGGCGAGAGAGCACTTTGTGATTCCCCGATTACCAAAAAGGCGATTGTATTATACTGTAGAACTCGAGCTTGCCCTGAATAAACATTGCCTTTCCTTCCCATTAGCAGGTAATGGCAGCAGCTTAGCCATTTTTTCTAATGATCTAAAAATGTAATTGCAGATCATGGGTTCCAGCTTCGTGGGGATTTCTTGGCGGAAGAAAATTCAGGTGTTTGAGGCTACAGCGCTCCGTGCTCAAAGTGTGTGTCTTCTGCAGCTGCTGGGTTTGACTGCAACAAAGGGTGGAATATACTGAACGTCTGGTTCTGCAGCGGAAACAGCAGGAGCTCAGAGTACAAAACAGGGAGTGGTGAACTTGTTTGAGAAAATAGGGCACATTTAATGGAGCACCTCCTTTCTCATATGATTCCACACCTCCTTTCTTCCTTAAACGAAATTCCTTTCTTTGCCATCTCATTTCCCAGACTCTTACCTGCTTCTCATAGAGTCATAGGATTGTGGGGTAGGAAGGGACCCTCAAGGATCATTTAGTCCAACCCCTTGCAATGGAGGAATCACAGCTAAAGAATCCCTGGCAGAGGACTATCCAACATATGCTTAAAAACATCCCGTGAAGGAGAGCCCACCACCTTCCCACCCCTCCCACAGCTACAATCCCCAGAGTTCCCTGTGAAGAAGGATGGATGGTTAAACCAGTCCAGAAATGGTATCTGTGGGGAGGAGGGTGGAATAAGGGCCTCCTAATATGGGACGCGGGTGGTGCTGTGGGTTAAACCATGGAGCCTAGGACTTGCTGATCAGAAGGTCGGCGGTTCGAATCCCCGCAACGGGGTGAGCTCCCGTTGCTCGGTCTCTGCTCCTGCCAACCTAGTAGTTCGAAAGCATGTCAAAGTGCAAGTAGATAAATAGGTACCGCTCCAGCGGGAAAGTAAACAGCGTTCCGTGCGCTGCTCTGGTTCACCAGAAGCGGCTTAGTCATGCTGGCCACATGACCTGGAAGCTGTACCCCGGCTCCCTCTGCCAATAAAGCGAGATGAGCGCCGCAACCCCAGATTCGGTCACAACTGGACCTAATGGTTAGGGTTCCCTCTACCTTTACCTTTAACAAAGCCACTTCTGTCTTAAGGAGGATTTGGGGTTGAGGGCTTCATGGGCCCTCCATGTGCACAGGGGGGTGGGAGGCCAGCCCCACACAATTGGGGGATTCTCGGCTGTGTCACCCCCTAGGCAGCCAATCGGGTTGATCCGGGGGTGTGGCCTGCCCCATAAAGGCAGGACGCAGCCAGGGATCTCCCTCTTTGTCCTCTTGGGCTAGTCACACTTCTCTGAAGTCTCTCAGCCCCACTCACATCACAGAGTGTTTGTTGTCTTCTCCAAGTGGGAGCTGCTGGCAGGCTGGTAGCAGAAACACTGTTCTGAGGGGACTCTGTGGTAAAGCTGCTAAGTCCGACTCCCATCTTCGCTCCATGCTGGAGCACCTACTTGTCTCCCTCTTTTCCTCCAAGCTCCCAGTCTCCATTGCCTCCCAGATCTCCTTCTCCTCTGTGGTGTGTCCGGTTGTCCACCACCAGGATCCTGGATCCAAGTCATCTTCCTCTGGGCTTTCCCTGAGTGGCTCTTCATCAGGCGGTTTGCACCATTCCTCCTCATCTACCCAGCGTCTAACAGGGCAGCTGGTTGGCACTGTGAGACCAGGATGGGCTAGATGGACCATTGACCTTATCCAGTACAGCCCTTCTTATGTCCTTACTTGCCCCTGGAAGGTTCTCCAGATTGAAGTGCTGCCTTCAGATTGACAAAGGTCCCCAGCCCTGGCATAAGGAAATAATAATAATAATAATAATAATAATAATAATAATAATAATTTATACCCCACCCATTTGTGGCTCCCAACAGAATATTAAAAACACAATAGTTTCCCTTCAACCTCACATGCTCAGTTTAGGATCAAGCTATCTAAACAGTGGCTTCTTCCAACTGCAATTTACCTGATTTGGCACTCATGATCTGCCGCTTCCTATCAACATATAATTTAGAATTGACAGGGCAGCTATTGCATCTTAATTATATTACTGAAATTAATGAGGTCCAAAACTATGCAGGGACATGGTTTGATTATTAGGTGTCACATCTTCTCATCAGTAAGCATGAGTGCTGGGCATTGATATGAGGGTGGCCTTGAGAACTTTAGATTGGCTGCATATGTTTATTTATCAAAGAGAATTTTTACTGGATTTTTTTTACCTGAAAACCGAGGGGAGGCAGAGAGACAAGAAGTGATTTTCTTTTGAAGGCAATTAGAAATATTAGCTAAAACACAAGAATGCATAACATCCCGACTAGACTGTTGCAATGGGCTCTGCGTCATTCAGAAGCTTCAGGTAGGGCAGAGTTTGGCAGCCCATTTCTTGGCAGGTCCATATTTGCTTCCTCGCTGCCCAGAATCAGCTCCAATGGCTGCCAATTTGCTTCAATACCCAGTTGTAAATGTTGACCTTTCAGAGCTCCGAGAAGCTTGGATGTTTATCATTCTAGGAAATGTTGCCTCCTACATGAGTTTCCCTGGACCATTTAGCATCTTCTGAGGAGATCCTACCCATATTTCACCTCATTTAGAGTCTAAACTATGGAGCGAAAGTCTGTTGGCACAGAGCAGGGCTCTCTTTAGCTAATAGACAAGGGGGAAGGAAGTGTTTGGGTTGCCGTGGGTGAGCCATGGGGAGGATACTGTGGCTAAGGCCATATGGCTGTTTTTGTTAGCTGGGTGTAAGGATGGGGGAGCGACACAATTCGAATCACTTTTAAAGGTGAATCTCCCTAATTTGCACTTTTTGAAGCAATGCGTGAACCGAAACACAGACATCCTGTGAACTTCTCTGAATTTTGCAGTTGTACTGCACTTCACCAGCCAAGTAATGAGTAAAAAGAAAGAGTAAAGTGTACATAAAGATAAAGGTAAAGGTACCCCTGACCATTAGGTCCAGTCGTGGCCAACTCTGGGGTTGCGGCGCTCATCTTGCTTTATTGGCCGAGGGAGCTGGCGTACAGCTTCCGGGTCATGTGGCCAGCATGACTAAGCCACTTCTGGAGAACCAGAGCAGTGCATGGAAATGCCTTTTACCTTCCCGCCGGAGCAGTACCTATTTATCTACTTGCACTTTGATGTGCTTTTGAACTGCTAGGTTGGCAGGAGCAGGGACCAAACAACGGGAGCTCATCCAGTCACGGGGATTCGAACCGCCGACCTTCTGATCGGCAAGTCCAGGCTCTGTGGTTTAACCCACAGCGCCACCTGCGTCCCTAAAGTGTACATAAAAATGTGTTATTTGTGAAAATAATGTGCAAATGGCCAAAGCTGATCCGAGGCTTAAAAAAAGAAGCATGTGTTGTCACACAAATTGAGTTAATAACAATGCTCTTTTTCCTGGGGTGACGCAGGGGTACGCATACCCCTAAACATTTTGTGAATCTAAGTTTGGCCTCATTGAAGGGCAGTATTTCAATATGAGTAGGAAAATGAGAGTACCCCTAAACATTTTTTTTAAGAAAAAAGCACTGGTTAATAATATATAGATTTCATACCCTTCAACATTTCTTCAAAGAAAATAGGTACGTCCTAGTCAACAACAATAACAATATTTATACCCCACCTATCAGACTGGCTTCCAACATATATAAAAACGTAATAAAACATTAAACATTGAAAAACTTCCCTATACATGGCTGCCTTCAGATGTCTTCTAAAGGTTGAATAGTTACTTCTCTCCTTGGCTCAGGGGTCGAATAATTCCATACCCTCCAATATTTCTCTGATGAAACAGGGATGTCCTAAGGAAAACCGGGACATTGTAGGATCAAATCAGAAACCGGGATGGCTTCTGTAAATCTGGAACTGTCCCTGGAAAATAGGGACACTTGGAGGTTTGATATTTCCCATTCTGAACCTGAGTGTTGTCAAGAGAGGGCCATTGGGCCTTGCTGAGTCTTGCCCCAATGAAATCTCTATTTCTGTCCTCCATTCTAAAAATCTGAACTGGAACCCTAACATAGGTGAGGTTCCTAATGTTTGATGTCTTACTGTGATTTAATTTGTTGGAAGTCACCCAGAATGGCTGGAGTAACACAGTCAGATGGGCGGAATATGTATGTATGTATGTATGTATGTATGTAGAAATAAATAAATAAATAAAAATACTATTATTATTAAAAATGTCCAGTAGCACCTTAGAGACCAACCAAGTTTGTTCTGGGTATAAGCTTTTATGTGCATGCACACTTCTTCGGATGCATGCACATGAAAGCTTATACCCAGAACATTTTTTAAATTTTTAATTTATTTATTTAGACTGTGTCAGACCAACACGGCTACCTAATAATAATAATAATAATAAAAATAAAACTTTATTTATATCCCGCCCTCCCCAGCCAAAGCCGGGCTCAGAGCGGCTAACAACAATAAAAGTAACATAGCTGTCAGGGAGAGGCAAACGGTGAAAGAGCTAAGGCGAGAGACAAGCACTTATAGAGAGCCGAAAGAGATAATTAGTAGTCTGTCGTCTGACAGCGAAGAGAAGGGCGGGAGGGGGAGGCTAAGCCCGGAACCAGTCATTCTGTAAACAGAGGAAATCAGAGGCGGGGTTTCCGCAGACTTGCATGTTGGGCAAAAAAAAGTAAAAAGAAACCAGACACGGCATCTTCGCCGACAGGGTCGGACATGCTCTGAAGCACTGGAGATGTTCTTTGAACTTTGTAAATAAATCAAAGAGATTGTAAATGGCAGCGAGCCTGGAGTTTTTATCTATGCCGGCTTGGCAGCACACACCTCTCACAATAGCATTCTAAAATCAATTCAAAATCAAATTAATGGCAGCCATTGGGCTAGAGTTCTGTGAGGATTACCAAAGGATTACCTACCTGACTATTATTATTATTATTATTATTATTATTATTATTATTATTCATACAGGGATGGTGAACCTGCGGCCCTCTGAATATTTGCTGGACTCCAGCTCCTAGTATCCCTGACCACTGCCCATGATAGCTAGGAATGATGGGAGTTGGAGTCCAATGGCGTCTGGTGGGCCACAAGTTCGCTATTCCTGCTACAGTAATACACTCAAAGGCACCAACCCCCCGGTGCTCAGCTGACTGCAAAGTTCTTGCTGGAGGCGACAGAAGGGCAGGCCCTGATTTTTTGCACCGGGAAGCAACTTGTACGGAATTTCCATCTCAACTAATAATCAATTTATGTAAATGCAATGCATTACATATGCGTGTCTAATTTGGCTGCTTGAGATTATGACAAGCACCATTAAGCCTCCCCCCATTACATTGGAAGTGGCAAGACAGAGAGAGAGAGAGAGGGCGACAATTTCCTTTAAAAAGATGCTTGTTGTGATGACCTTTCTAACAAAAAAAATAGCAGCGAACTGTAGCGCTGTAATCTTTTCTTTGAAATGTGGATTTCTGCCCAACATTTTAATACGGTGGTGCACTTACTGGAATGCTTACGCTTCAACCTTTAGGGTCACTGGATTGCGACTGAATAGAATAAAGTTAGCGAGAGAGGGAGCAGAAAAGAGAGAGCTTTATTTGCATTAAGCACATTAACGTCTCACTGCTGACAGTGCTCCTATTATATTTCACTTCAATACAGCTGAAGTATGTTTTTAAAAGATCAACTTCCCCCTCCTTTAATGATCGTATATGGGACAGGTAAGGTCATATATGGTGCAGTGCAAGCCTTAGGTGCAACTCTTTGCAAGTTGCACCCATCGTCCAATCACCGTCTGTTCGCCTGCACAGTTTGATTTCAAACTGCACGGGCAAAAG